AAGTGCGCGGAAGGAGCTTGGGGGAGGGGAGAGAGTTGGGGGACGACAGAGGGTGCAGGGGGTGGGTGCTGACGGAAGATACTGAGTTTTAAAAGAAAAAATGAAAAGAAACGGGGGGGGGCATCCCCTCAAAACAAACAAGCGATCCAGCGGCGCCAGCCCAGAATCGGAAAGGAAACTTCACTCTCCTTTCGCTCTCAGCCGGCTCACCGGGAGCGGGCGGTGTAGACGCTCCGAGCTGTGCACAAGGGTCATAGCCCACGCCCGGGTTCTCGCTCCCCCAGCCCGCCCCTGACGGGTACTACCTGGGCCCACTTGGAACAACTTTCCTCTAGAGAGGACAATTGTGCGCTCCCCTAGCCTGCCTCAATGCTGCACCGCGTGCAGAGGGTTGGCGGGGGTGGGGGTGGGGGGTGCAGTGTGGGAGTTCGGGGTGCTGGTGGGAGTAAAACACAAAGGCTAAAGGATTCTGGTTAGAGACAAATAATCTCCCTCTCTCACCTCTCCGTGTGTGTGTGTGTGTGTGTGTGTGTGTGTGTGTGTGTGTGTGTGTCCTTTGTTTGTTGTTGTGGTGGAGGTGGAGAACCATATGGGGGAGTGATAGAAGAATTTTAGTCAAAAACTGTTCGTTATGTTACCCTGCCTTTCCTCTTTGTGCTGTCTTTGATCTGTTTGCTTGGCTTAGTATTACAAAAAAACAAGGACAATAATATATTCCAAGATGGTCCCCAAGATTCGGTTCAGGCAGCCTCTTTTTAAGTATGTGCATGTGTCTCTCTTTTAATTTAATTTTTTCTTCATTGCTGCCTGGCATTATTTAAGGTGGTCCTTACACAGGAGACCTCCCCTTCTCCATCTCTGGGTAATTTAGTAGACACTAAAATTACATCCAATGTTCCCCTCTCCTCTCTCGTGTTTCCTCTGTTCCCTTTATTAAATGTTAGTTATTGATTTTCTAAAATCAATGTCTGTTGTGGGGCTTCCCCCCTTACAAGTATCTGGAGCACGTTGCTGATCATCTGGATAACAAAAGCTTTGTATCATGAGCCCCCCCCCCATGTTAAACTGTTATTTTTGAGAGAAAGGAGAATGAGATTTAAAGCGAGGCTACCAGAAGTATTCTTTTGCAGTGAAGACTATTTGAAGTGTTTGTTTCTTCTTGTTCTTCCTCCTTTCACTCCCTTCATGATTTTGCTGTGAAATACCAACTTGGCTCCAGCAGTGAGGTCAGGCCACAGCCCAGTTTGGGGATAGGGAGCGATCCAGGCTCCCTGGGAACTCTGGTGGCACAGGCTATTAGGGCCTCACAGGTAACACAGTGTACCAGGGAGGGATGCAGTCAGGGACACCAATCATTTCCCCTATGAACAGCCATTAATTTGGGACAAGCTTCCACACTCTGAGGTGGATAAAGTTGAACTGTGATTTTCACGCATTTGTCCCAGACCCTAAACACTCATCAGCAAGGCTGTCTATTGCCCACAGATTCTC